TTGATCAACAGAATTACATAGGTCAATCCTGTTCAATAAATGTGTTAGTGGAACCACTCTTATGTAATTCACTACAATTGTTACTGTGGGCCAAGACAATTCTACAAGTTAAAAAAAAACACAGACATCCCAAATACAAAAACACTTTTTTCAGGACTCCTTTCTTACCTAGAATGCAAGAGGCCCAACCAGACAGGATTCACTGCTAGATCTAGTAATTGGAAATGAACCAGAGCAGATAAGAAAAGTAAGTATGGGGGAGCATCTAGGCAATAGTGATCATAACAAGTTTAAATTAATGATTGAGAAAACATAAGTAATAAAAAGACCACAACAGTACACAGGGAAAACAAACAGGTAGTTATTGAGCAACAAGAATAGATCTGAAGAAATTAATCTCAGGGAGAGGAAAAAAAAAACAGCAGGTTGGGAAATACTTAGAAAATGAAATCTATTTTAGTTTAGGAAAATAGATTCAGTTAAAAAACAAGAATGAACTAATCAATAATGAAACACTGTAGATGAGTAAAGAGTTAAGGATTAAGGTCAAATTGAAGAAAAAACAAAGTTGGTAACTAAAAAGGATGACAAAAGTGAATTGATAGGCTAGTGAAGAAGCCGCTTTTTAGATCTTATGGGAAGCAAAAATGATACAAATTAAACTTTCAAGTAACAGCAAAAAGGATTTTCAGACCTAAAAAAAATCAGGATAGGGATTGAGCAACGGAAGGTAAACTCACAAGTAATTACAGCAAAATTGTAGAAACATTGAATAGTGACTTTGCTTCATTATTTACAAAGGAGACCAAATGTGGATAACACATTAGAAGAAGAGCCAAAAAGAGTACAAAAATATTTAAGACAGAAAACGATCTGAGGGGGTAAGGAGAAGATATATAATAAACTTATCAAATGTAGCAAAGATTAAACCTTTTCTTGACTGAATTGGATTCATTCGTATTTAAAGAAATCACACGGAATAGCAGAAGTAATATTACACGTGTGTATAAAAATTTATTACAATTGGGAATTATGCTAGAGGGATGATGAACAGCTAGCAATATTATGTTCAAAGGAAGGAGACAGAACATGTCCAAAGAAAAATAAATTAGTTAGTTGAATGTCAATGATAAGAAAAACAAGACAAGAGAGTCTTTATTCAAAGAGATAACAAAAAAACACTAGCTGAAAACATAAAGAGTAGCCAGCTTAGATCTTAAAGGGGAAGGACAATGTCTAACCAACCTTACTAAATTCTTTGAAGTAACAGCAAGACTAGACAAAGGTAATGCATCAAATACAACATATTTGGACTTTGAAACAGATGCTCAAAGATGTGCAGTTTAGGTGGACTGGCCATGTTGAATTGCCCCCTAGTGTCCAGGGATTTACAGGCTGGGAGGGTGGCTATGGTAAATGCAGGGTTATGGGGTTTGGTGGGGGGCAGTCTGGGTGAGGTGCTCTTCAGAGATTCAGCACAGACCTGATGGGCCAAGTGGCTCCTCTGCACAGTAGGAATTCTAGTGATCTTTGATAACATATCACAAAATAAACCGATGACTAAGGTCAGAGTTAAGTAGCTGGATGAATTGCAAATTGGTTCCAAAATAAAATAATAAGTCTTTAAGGGCAGCTACATAGACTGGCAACGGTGGGAAATGATGTTCCAGAAACAAAGTGAATGAATGACAGGATAATCTATTTTGTCATTTATTTAAGAAAGAACTGTTGACCTGGATATAAGCTCAGATAGTACTAGACCAGATGTACACCAGAAGATATACATTGGGACTACTGCAAAACTCCTGATGTACTGACTATGCAGGAATTGTCCAAGAAGTTGAAATTTCCAACTTTGTCCAGCATCTGGGACACTCCAAAAAGGTCCCCAACTCGGAGTTAAGAGTCAGAGACTTTGGAGGGCTCCAGATTACTTTTCTTAATATTCGGCCAGGGGAGGTTAGAGGAAATCAAACCTGCAAGGACTTCCCAATCATTCACATTGGCCCTGCCCTCCCCCTACCACTCAGACCCATCTCTCACTACCCTCTACATACCTGGACTTGTCTCTCCACTCCGATCCAACGCCCCCCCGATCTATACTAACCTGGCCTAACTCAACCCCTCTCCAGCCTGCCACCCCATCCTGACAAGATCCATTCTGACATCCCCCAGTTGCATTCCCCACAACTATCTGCCTCAGCAGCTACTTGTACCCACTTATCACCCTCTCCCATTTACGCAATAACCTTTTTTAAGGTCAGTTGTCAATGGCTGCTAGACACTTGTATCTTGGAATACAGCAGCTCATGTCAAAAAAGGAGCAGAGTTTCAATGCTAATCCACTTTGTTACTACCTGCATGAATTCCTGAACTGTATTAAGATGCTCTAGATGGGAAGGCTCCTGGCCAGAGGTTTGCATGGTGAAGTCTTTCAAAGGCAAGTTCGTTCTTCACTCGTCCAATGAGAGTTGGAAAAAAGTTTCCAACACTGTTGGGAGATCTAGGTCCACATTGTTGCCTCAACCAATCACACCTATTATTTTATTATCTGGCACTTTAAGGGTTAAATGGCAAATTGCTGCAAACAGTCACTAATTCAGGAAACATGTATTAAAAAAGTTGAAATTTCAAGTATAGACTCTTTATTCACAGAAAGGCCACATTTCTGAAATGTTACTAATCTAATGTTTGAAATTTCAAGTTGTACGAATTCTCAAATACTCGCTGACCTGTAAGTGAAAATGCTGGAAACAATCAGATGTCCATCATCTGCAAATTTTTGACACTGGCGGCATATAAAGTCATATAGGGTCTAAATTTATATTGTTTTATCCAACTGACTGCCTACGGATAATTAATTTCATGGATACTGCATGGGTGAGGCGTCAGCTTGGTTTTAGTTGAATTCTGAAGGTTAAGAATTCAAACCTCATTCAGGGACTTGAGCACAAAAGCTAGCTGTGACTTCAGTGTGCTCCCAAGGTTTTATCAGAAGTCCTGCACTTTGGATGAAAGCAAGATTCGATCATGTTCCAATAGTTCAAGTAGAAGTTAAAGATCCCTGGTATTATTTGTAGATGAGTAGATTTACCTACAGTGCAAAACCAGAGAATGAGGGTTGAACAAAATGCAGCTAATCTTTAGATTTTCATTTCCAAATTTAAGTTCTATCACTGCAATACACAAACAATTGACATAACCTAGCGAGAAGGTCCGAAGGTACCTTCAACATTAAGAAGAGACAATGCCAAGACTTGTAAAAATATTATTGTAGAGTGGTCACTGAGGAGCAATAGATACAGTACTCTACTGTCTAAATAATTTACTTGAAAAACAACTGCAGTCGTGCTTTGGTGTCATTCTGCAGAATGGAACATTTTGCGTTAAATGACATCACTGAGTAATGATACCTCAAAATGAAAAGCACAGATAATATTACCCTGACATCTGAGTACATAGGGGAGAGGAGGCTGCAAGACATTTGTAAAGAAACAGTTTAGCAGGATAAATGAAGGAAACTACAGCATTAAGATTATTCTAATAACAATTAGAGTTTGTAAACTTAACAGATTAAGTATAAAGTTACCCAGGATTCACAGACAAAACAAACTGTGATATATGATCAAAGAATTCAAAGCCGTGATTGGATTTGTTAATACATTAAAGAAAATTAGTGATTTGTTACCAGCTTCAGTTTTGCACTGTAACAAGTCCACTTCAAAAACAATGAACAAAAATATCCAAAATTATAGTTGTAAAATTCTTGGCTCCGAGCCAGTGCATCCATTCTATATTGTTTGGAGATACACACAGCCATGAAATTAATATTTAGAAGCTGTGTTTTGAAATAATCTGCTTCTAACTTTTTTCTCTTTATTCCTCGTTTTCAACCTACCGTTGCTTTTGGATCCTTCAACAAAGAAAACAGAAATTCAATGGGGTTTGCATGCAAGATTCCCAAGAACTCAGCCCACTGGCCAATCTCTTCTTACTTAGGATACAAACATTTTCAATGGGAATCAGTCACTTATTCTATTCAAACTGAATTAAAACCTAGGTCATTCTCTTGTCCTCATTTTTGAAAAAATGGGAAAGGTCGCACTGCAACTCGTTGCAATACATTGCTCTTCCTTAACAGTCAATACTGATTTGTTTTTGCTTTCACATCTCTGGTTGGAGGCTAAAGGGCTTCATTTTGTTTAAGTTTTTTTTAAAACTAAAGTTGCCAGTTGTTCACATAATATATCGTTCATATATTAAATGTTATAGACACTTGCAAAACAGTCCCTCTACTACATATTGGATTTACCATAATCCATGTCCGTTTTAAAAGTATCTACACACATATTCTCAATAATAGTTAACTGGTGACCCAAAATTCACAATCATTGAGGGTCATGTCTATCTCTATGGAGATCTTTCGTGCAACTAGCTTTGTTTTCTACTTACGTGTATTTTTAAAATGTTAGATACGTTTTGAGATCAGATCTTTCTCTACCGCGAGGGCTCTTTCACACTCAATTAAAAGTAAATATTTCAACTGTATTTAATTCTGTTGATAGTGTTCAACAAATAATCTCAACAGGCCATGGCCCAGATGTCATTTATGGATATGGTGTTCAAGGCCCGTCACCACCGCGCCCGCCCCCCCACCTCTTCCCCAACCCATTTCCTCACTGTGTACGGAAGTGTATGTTCCAAACTGTGGTGTACAAGTCTTGGCCTGTTCCTAGTCGGTGCCTGTAATCAGTCTTGTCACTCATCTTATTCCAGATAGTTCTATGTGACTGAAGTGCAAGGCCTGACCCCTGTATAGGTATTTGGTGGGATTCGGTTGCCTCTCTTATCAGTGTTAACTGTTGCTATGTAAGGCCAGGGGCCTGTCTAGTAGTCGGTGCCTATAAACTGTAGCTGCCATCCACCCTCATTGCCTTTTCTTTAGCTGGCCTCTGTACCAGTGTCAAGACGCCCCTGGGTGCCAGGGGCCAGCCGCTTACCTTTATAATGGACCCGCAGGTTGTTCTGAGACAGGCCGATGTAGCTGTACTTATCCTTTGGGCTCCAGCATCTCGGCAGCGGCGTCTCCTGCTCGTTGACAGCGGGGTAGAGCCGCTTGAAGCGCTCGGTGAGTTCCTTCTCTTGAAGGTTGAGTGCCGACTCTCCGTGCGCCGCCGACAGCCCGGCCATGGGTGCGGATCTGTGAAGGACGGGAGGAGGGGTTAGGCCAAACCCGGAGCCTGGGCTCTGGGTGGATGTATAATGGGCCGGAGACGGTCTGGATCAGGCTCCGAGCCCCGGATGAGGAGACTTGGAAACCCGGAACGACGACCGATGCCGTCCCCCTTCCGCGGCCGCGCCTTATGAACCCTCAGCCCGTTCGTTCACTGAGAGCCTGCCCGACAACCAGCCGCCCTCCCTCCACCCGGTCCGTCCCCAGCTCCAACCCAACTCAGTCGCTGCTGCATCCGAGTCTGACTGAGTGACTCTCTCTGTCTCCGCTCACTGACAGGCCGCCACTGCCCAACCCGCTCCTCATTGGCCACCCACTCTAAACCAGCGAGGCTGGGGGGCGGGGCTATGTGCCAGTGGGGCGGGGCTAAGATCGGGGCAGGGGAAGTGCTGCAGAGAGGCTCACTCCCTATGAGGGGGTCTCTGGAGGGAGGCTAGTAAGGAATGGGTGCAATTGACAGGGGCGAGGGAGTAAAGCAATGCAGAATTGGAGAGGTGGGGATAAGGGGTGAGGAAGGATTAAATGGCAAAACATTCCACAATAATGGGTGAAGAAACAAAAGACGTGTACAGACGAGTTGTGAATGGCTGGACAGTAGATATCAGAATGGAAAGTGAAGGAATAAAACAGATATACATCAGTTAAAAAAAGGAAGCAGTGATCATCATCTAAAATAAGAAGGGTCCAGCCCCGAAATGTCAGCTTTCGTGCTCCTCTGATGCTGCTTGGACTACTGTGTTCATCCAGTTCTATACCTTGTTATCTCAGATTCTCCAGCATCGGCACTCCCTACTATCTCTGAATCGATCATCATCTAAATTTGTGTCCAGAAGGCTGTAAACTGCCAAGTCCAGAGATGAGGTGTTGTTTGAGCTTACATTGAACTTAATTAATATGCTATAGCAGCCCAGAGACAGGAAAGTCAAAATGGTCAGAATTTGGAAAATTGAAATGGCAAATGACACAAAGCTCAGGGTAATGCTTGGGGCAGAGTTGTAATAGGAATTAGGATAAGAGTGAGATCAGATATGCAAGATAAAGGCTTGGATAGCAGCATTGCTGGAGGTGTATGTGCAGTAATCAATGGCATTTTTTCTGCGATCCAAAAGATTGGAGATTGATTGACACCGTTTGAGATGGTGGTCTCTGCTTTTGTTATGTTTCAAAAAGAAATAAAAACCTGTGTCAATTTTGGACCTTCAACGATCATAGTACATTACAGAGCACTTTACAGGCATTTCAAGTATTCTTAAACTATGTTATAGAGTCACAGAGGCATGCAGCATAGAAACAGGCCCTTAGGCCCACCATCTCTGAGTCATAGGGTCATTGAGTATACAGCACGGAAACAGACCCTTCAGTCCAATTTGTCTATGCCAACCAGATTTCCCAAATTAAACATTTGTCTGTGTTTGACCCATATCTCTCTAAACCTTTCCTTTTTGTCCACCTGTCCAAATGTCTTTTAAATGTTATAACTGTACCTGCATGTACCACTTCATCTGACAGTTCATTCCACATATGAACCACCCTGTGTGTGAAAAAGTTGCTCCTCATGTCCCTTTTAAATCTTTTTCCTCTCACCTTAAAGTTATGCCCCCTAGTTTTGAATTCTCCTTGTCTAGGGAAAAGGCCTTGATTATTCAGCATGATTTCATCAACCTCTAAGGTCATTCCCCAACTTCCTACACTCCTAGGAAAAAAAGTCCCAGCCTATCCAGCCTCTCGTAATAACTCAAACTCTCCTGTCCTGGTAAATCTTTTTTGCACTCTTTCCAATTTAATAATATCCTTACTATAGTAGGGCCACCAGAACTGTACACCGTACTCCAAAAGTGGCCTCACCAACGTGTTGTACGGGTGCAACATGACAACTCCTATACCAAATGCTCTGACCAATGAAGACAAGCGTGCCAAATGCCTTCCTCACCATCCTGTCTACCCATGATGCCAATTTCAAAGAACTGTGTACCTGAACCCTTAGGTCTCTCTATTCGAGAAGAAAACAACTTTGGCCTCATTTATATTTAGTTGGTGAAAGTGCTGGCTGGTCTAACACTTGACACTGAACAACTAGACTGCGCGGCAACTAGTATTTGAGTTGGAATTTAGAATTACTTTCTCTGCTGTGGAAAATTTTACACTTTTTAAAATTCATTTGCGGGATGTGGACGTCACTGCCTGGCCAGCATTTATTGTCCATCCCTAGTTGCACTCGAGAAGACGGTGGTAAGCTGCCTCTTGAACTAGTCCAATATACTTGCTGTGGGTTGACCCACAATGCTATTGGGGAGGGAATTCCAGGGGTTTGACCTCGTGATAATGAAGGAATAGCAATATATTTCCATGTCAGGATGGTGAGTGGTCTGGAGGGGACCTTGAAGTTGATGGTGTTTCCATGTATCTGCTGCCTTGTCCTTCTAGATGGAAGTAGTTGTCTGAGGATCTTTGGTGAATTCCACATATCACATTTCACTCCAAGCATTATATAAAACAGGCAATAAAATTCTAGAATATACATCTTATTTTACTCTTAAAACAAGAACTTAAGGAGATTGAATTATCACATAACAGCACACTCAGTCGGACTTTGTTAACCACTTTTTATGGTCTAGAGATGGCTGATAAATGGCCGCTTGAATTTGATTGTACTTTGCCAAGTGGAAAAAATGTGCAAGTGCTTTTTGAAGTTTGTGATTTATGAAAAGCAAAATGGAACAGATACTAATGACCACTACTGTCCAATGACAATGAAATTAATGACCATTGATTTTTTTGGTGTTGGTTGACAGGAAATTTGGTCAAGGCACCAGGAGAATTCCCTACTCTTCAGTGCCATGGTTTCTTGAATGACTTCCAGGGCACTGAAATAAAACCTTTATTTTAGATTTCAAATGGATGGCAAAGGTGAATGCATCAGAGCATTCATACTACACTGGAGCATCAGCCCATATCATGCATTCTAGACCTGGTTCAGGAACCCTCTAGGTCAGAGGTGAGGCTACCAATTAGAGCTATTTTCATGCTGGCAGTATTTTATTCTGGATTTCCATAACCAACAGTTGGCTCTTTTCATTTAGACTGTTGAATTAAATTATTCAGTCTAGTGGGAGACTTATACACCAGTTAAATTCTAGTTTGAAGAGATAAAAGGAGCTGCATTTAACTCTATAAATATTGGAAGTGAGCTTGGGTTTGGTTAAGAAATGTTAATGACGAAAGTAATTCAGCTGAAGTTCCAGCTGCCTACTACATAGTTTGACCTGTAAAAATGCTTTCTTTTTGCCAGCAGTTGCAAAATAAAAGTGAATCAATTCAGAGTTTTAAAATTGGTTAAACAAATCCTAATCCTTGAAAAATTGGAATTTTGTTGGCAAACTCTTTGCTGACCAACAAACACCAAACTACATTAATTCCATTTACATTTGCTGTTAAAAATGCATGAAATGGGCAATCAACTTGCACACAGTAAGCTCCCAGTAGCAAAGTGATAAGGACTAGTTAATCTGCTTTGTAAAACAAAAGCAAAATACTGCATGATACCAAAAATCTGAAATAATACAAAAAAAGACTTGGAGCTACAAAGCAGGTTAGGAAGCATCCGGTTGGAAAAACAAGGCTAATGTTTTAGGTTGAGATGATCATTCATAAAACTGAAAAAATTTCATTGATCAAGGGATAAGTAGGATTAATCTTCTACTCTTCCACTGCGTGCTTGTCTTCTGGCTATTTTTAACTGCCTATTTCAGGTCAGTCACATATAGTTCTTAATACGGACTTCATTCTAAATAAAACTGGCATGATTAGATGAAATTACTGTTAACAAGGCTGCACCTTTTCAGAAATACTATCTTTCTTAAAGTGACTACTCAATGAGTGAAGTCCCATAGGTGACCCAATACATATTTCAATGAATACGTATATTCATTTTTATTTCACAAACCATATCGTTATCAGTAATAGTTTGTGCTATGTTACAATATCACATTATATCCGGAAAGCCTACTCGGAAGAATTAGGAGTTGGCATAAGGTGTGGAGGCAACATAGAATGTGAGTTCTGAGGGCCTGTGGCAGCAGTGGGAGTTAAGCAGAATAACAACTTGTGGACATCTTTCAGTATTCTGCTACCATATGGTGTGTTTGTGTGCATGTACTGCCCTTTGAAGCACACTCCTAATCAATAACAGTCAATTTAAAAATGAGCAGTTCGGTGCAGTTACATCATTGTTGGATCCCTGATCATTGGCTCAATCACTGATGTTGTTACTACAAAACTGATAGGGCTGCTACCAACATTGCTGGAGATTGGCATCATTTCTAGACTAAAACACTTTGATCTCAGTAGCCAAGTAGGCCAGCATTCACTGCTCCAATTACTATGTTAAAACCAATAATGACCAGAATTTTCACTGAAAACCAATAACTTCTATTGACTATCATGGGGTATCCCAATTATTGTCATGTACTCAAGTACAGAAGTATTGGAATACAGTGAAAAGTGTACAAAGTCACCCTTCTCTGGCACAATCCGAGGTACAAAACCTCAAATTTAAAAGAAAACCAGGAGGCAAAAACCAGAATTTAAAAAAAAGCAGAAATACAAAAAAAAGGAGCCAAGAAAGAAATATGAAGTGTCCAGATCTAAAAGTCTTATCTCCATAAGGTAGTCTTATCCCTGTAAGTTGGCCTCCCTCCCCAAAGCCTCAAGTCTCAGTGCCGTTGCTTCCTCAGGCTCTCGGAACTCTCTCCCACTGCCGCCACTGGCCATCAGAACAAGTTCCTTATGTTGCCTCCATTCCTTATGCCAGCTCCTAATTCTTCTGAGTCGACGTTCATGATTTAATGTGATATTGTAACACAGCAGAAACCCGTTTGTGAAATAAAAATGAATTATATAGTAAAATATGTATTATGGTCACCCATGCGACTTACCCATTGATTGGTCACTTTAACAAAGATAATGTATCTGAAAAGGTGCAATCTTGTTAACTGTACTTTCACCTAATCATCCCAGTTTTGAAATCTGTTAAGAACATTAGAAATGTGACTGATGTTACTGTTATTGATTTGTACTCAAAATTACAGACATACCTTATTATTAAGTAGTATTAAAAAGACTTGTGTTTCCCAAAGAATGTTTCATGGCTGCTATTCTAAAATATTTTATCACAAGTCTCAGTATTTTAGTTTCACCCCATGCATTATGAATTATTTCAGCGATTCAATCATACACTTGTAAGTATAGGTTTATGAGCTGCGCTTAATCATGTGTTATTGTTTAATTCTTCCTCAGATGTGCTGTAACTATGTTTGGACATGGTTTA